TATTATTGCAAACAAATCCGATGATAAAAGTCTGATTGGTTATGAAGGGTCAACTTTTTGGAATAATCGTTTGCAATGTTTTAAACCGGAGTTGATCCAATGGCTGATGCAGGTCATATTGTGGCTTATGGTGTCGTTAACAAGTTTGGGAGAGTGTTTAAGCAATAATTAACACATGAATATTGAAAACAAAGACTTGATGAAATATTATAAAGATCAGAAGCTTTGATCATTAGATAAGCAAGTTCCAAAAAGTCACACAAATCAAAAATAAACAAAAGCTCATATGTTTTAAAACTTTAATTAGAAAAACCAAATTCGATCAAAATCGTCCAAAGGGTTTCAGGATTCAGTTACTTTCTTTCTCATCTCCTCTTGTAGCTGCTTGGTTGGAACAATGGTCATCGACAAAAACAGAAATATCAGCTTCAGAGGCACCAGCAAGTTTATATCTTTCAAGTGCTGACTCCAAATTCTTCTCCCAACCGTCTACACCGATTTCCCATTCCACTTGTGATCTTTGATACAGAATATTTCCCCATATCATCAACATTTCTGAAGCCTCCTCCTCTTTCTCTCCATCTCCTTGTTTCTTTATCTTGTCCGAAACTACTTCCTCTTTCTTATCACGCATCTCAGTGGCAGCTTTTATCTTCTCTTCTGCACTATCAAAGAGCTTTAATGTCTCTGCTGGATCACAAACAGATAAATCTATCTTCTGCTGCGACCAATGGAGTTTAGCCATCTGAAATTGCTGGTGTCCTAAAGCATGCAAACCCTCGTGAAAATCGGGTTTGATTGATAAGGCCTGTTCATATTTTTCTTTAGCCATAATGTACCTCTGTTTCACCCACTCATAAGCATGTCCCGGTACTGTGGATTCTTCCAACGGTATCCGCTTTTTGGCAGATAACATGAGAACATTACCCCAATCCAATAAAGCAATCGCAGCCACTTTTTGGAATTTTGCACCGGCTTCGTCGAAAAGTGGTTGAGCTTCTTCACTAGTGAGTGTTTCTTCAAGTGCTTCAGAGCAAAGGTCCACACCAAGATTATGTAAGTCGACGTGAGCATCAGGATCAATCCGTAGGCGAGACCGGAAAAGCTGAGCAAACTCAAATAACCAATCATCCATCTCCACTTCCGTATATTCAGAAGAAGAATCTTCAGCAGGGGGAGAAGCTAACTGCCTCGACATTTCCATGGCTTCCTTGTGATTCGGTTCTGTTTTTAAAACCGCATTCACGTCTTGCACAGCCAATTCAAGCTTCCCAACAGCTTCAAAAGCTCGAGCTCTTCTAAGAAGTGCTCGAGTAAACCCTGGCTGAAACTTAAGCGCCAAGGAACACTCGGTGATTACATCTTCGTAGTCGTTAGGGTTTATCTGCATCAAACAAGCAGCACGGTTGCTGTGAAACACAGCTCTGTTTGGGTGGTCATTGGGAATTACCTCAAGCCCCTTTGAGTAGCGCTCAAGAGCACCAGAGAAATCTCCGGCTTGGTACTTGTTGTTTCCTTCTTCCTTGAGCTCTTGAGCACGTTTGATTAGTAATATTTGAGCATCGGAAACATTACCACCATTAACAATCGGCTTCGATGTAGTTACCTTGTTCGAACCACCACCACCCTTCTTCTTCTTCCCTCCTCCGGATTTCCCCATATCAAACCAACTGAAAACAAACACAAAAATCTCAATTTCGAGAAAGAGGTGCTTATAGACCTAGCTCAACTCGAATTATAAGGAAACGTAACATGACGGCAAAAGCCCTAGAAAAAATTCATCAACCCTAGACCTAAAGTAAAACATTTCGAGCAACTAGTGGGTCATATAAGTTGGGCCCACTTATATATATTCGGCCCAAATAATATCTACTCGTAATAAAATAATCTTCTTCATCGTCAGTGTTGGCAGTTGCAGGTAAGGACAAGCTCTGATGAGCTTTCCATGTTCCTTCCCAAGTCAACAGATCAAAGCAGCCTCTTTGACCTTCAAAGAATCCAACTTTTTGTTCTTATCTCACAAACTTCTTTAATGGCCAAATTATAATTCCAATCACTCACACTTTCCTCCGAACAAAAATCTCAGATTCTTCTCCAAACCAAACACAAACATGGCCAAATCGATGTCACCATATACC